ACAGAATTTGAGATTGTTACAGTAAGAGTTTCCTTAACTAAAATCATAACAGCTCAAAAAAAGTGACACTATTAAAATGAGAACCCTTGTGGATTCCAAGTGCCTTTGCCTCCACCTGAGGTCATGGCTGGAATCTCAGAGAATGGAGGAAGCTGCAAAGTTCATCAGGACAACCCAGTAGACAAGCCAACATTTTCAATAGAGAAGGAAACAAGCAAGTCGCTGAGTGTTAATGAGATTATGTCTGTGCAGATGTCCTTGCTGAGTTATTAAGGCTAATTTATGAATTACTTTTTCTAAGTTCCTACTGAGGTTTATTCTATGTGCAAGCATACAGTTCCCTCAGAACCCACAAACTCAATTTGCACACTATTAATTTGGAAATGTCATTTTTTCCCCTTTTCATGGGTTTATTGTTTCCCCAATGTGATTGCCAACTTCTCAAAGGCAAGTTTTACAGCTTCTCTATTTTAAGCATCAGCCATTAAACATTTATTATCCTGCCTTACAATAATCATTTAATAAGGGTTATTAATTAGTATTTTAATGCATTAAAGCTGTTAAGGTATTTCTCTAAACACATATGTTTATTTTAAGAGTGATTTTTGCATGGGGGGGGGATGTAATTTTAAAATTTATATTCATTAGCAAACACATAAACTCAATGTTTGAAAACCTCCAGAACATTATCCAATTGATTATATTGCCTTTGATAACTAACTGAATAAATAATAGTTGAAAATTGAAGGGGGCAAAAGGAAGATTTTTAAAAATATTTAGACCTGACTCGGTTTCAAACACGCAAATTTTATTTTTTTAAATTTTGGATTACAACTAGTACAAAATGTTCCCTTTATTAAACACCATCATTCATATTTTTTAAAAATATATCTTTCTTGATTTCAGAGAGAGGAAAGAGAGAGAGAGAGAGATAGAAACATCAATGATGAGAGTCACTGATTGGCTGCCTCCTGCACACCCCCTCCTGGGAATGGAGCCTGCAACCTGAGCATGTGCCCTGACGCGGAATCGAACCACAATCTCCTGGATCCTAGGTCAATGCTCAACCACTGAGCCACGCCGGCCAGGCCCATCATTCATATTTCTGCTTCTTGTGAAGTGTGATCATCTCCTGCTCTCTGAATAAATATTCATAAAGCCTCAGGTGTGTTTCAGGCACTACGTGAGATGCTGAGCACACAAATATGGCTCACACATAATCCCTGCCCTCAAGGAAATCCACGAGCTTGTGAGGAAGAGAAAGAACTACTCATCTATTAACTCCTATATTCAAAAAATATGTATTGGGTGCTCACTATGTGCCCAGCACTGCTGAAAGCATGTGGGATATATTAGTGGACAAAGCAGATGAACCCAGCCACTGGGGATCTTTCATTCTAATGGAGATAAAGAGACAATGTAATAAAGAGGATAACAGCTAAGGATCAACCCTGAACATGGTAAGAGGGATCAAGAGTGTCAGGTGGGGGAGGGTGTGATTTCAAATAAGGTGAGGTCCCATTGAGAAGTGGCAGGAGCCAAAGCAGCTGGCCAGGTGGATTATGTGGGAGAAGGACCTTTCCAGAAAGAACAGGCCTGGGCAACTACAGCCCACAGCCCAAATCCCACCCACTGGCTACACATAAAGTGTTGTGAGCACAGAGCCCTGCCTGCATGGGTACATTGGTGATGGCTACTTTCATGCTCCAATCGCAGAATTGAAAAGCTGCAACGGAGACCATATGAACTGCAAAGCCTAAGCCATTTCCCCTCTAGTCCTCTCTAGAAAAAGTTTGCTGGTCCCTGGAGAGAGGGAAGAGCCAGTGGCCTATGCAACATTTAAGAGGCTGGAGCAGAGTGAGCAAGGGGTCTGCAGTAAGGACACGGAGGTGATGGGAAGCTGGCAGGCAAGGCTGCGGCTTTAAACCCAGGCCGAGCACAGTCCCTAACCACAGGGGTGGGGGTTGCACAACCTATGAGAAGAAATGCAAATAAGGGGGTAAGGGGAGATAGGGCCAGGAGAGATGAGTCCCAGGGCAGGCGTACAGGGCCCAGGAGCACCATGGAAGGGAGCAGGCAGCTTCTTCTCCCGCAAGAGGGGAGGCATTACGGGAGGTCCAAGGCTGAGGCTGGCATGACCTGGAGAACAGTGTGGGAGGACCACCCTGGGCGGTAAGTGGAGAATAGGTCTGAGAGGGCCTAGTGCAGAACTTCAGAAGAGAATTGAGGAGACCTTAAACACAGAGAAGGGCAGGGGGAACGAAGGAGGCCTCACCGGTCCACCGCATGAAGCCTGCTTCCTGCTCCCCACTAAGCTCTATTCAGAGCAAAGAAATCCAACTCTCTGCTCTCCATTCATTGGCTCAAGGGCATTGATTCTCAATCAGTTGAAAACTCAGGAGGATATAAGAGCATCATTTACTGCGGCCCTAAAATCAATATGGAAAACGGGAGCCTTCCTGGACATGGCAGAACTAAGGGTGTTTGTTTCAGCCTGTTTGGGTTTCTTTATTTGTTCTTGTCTCATTTAAGAAAGAAGAAATCTGAGCACTTTTATAAAAAGAGAGCGATCATCATTAGAGTGGCAGAAATTTAAGGCCATGACCAGAAAGAAGGGATAATGGATAACGCAACAATCTATTGAAAGAAAATTACTCCAGAGCTCGGCAGAAGGAACTGAGACCAAGTGTCTGGTCAAAGAACAGACGGGGTACAACGTGTGGATTCCAGTTAGGTCGGTGATAATAGATGGCTCTGTACCCAGGCTCGGGGGAAGACAGAGCAGAGCTAAGCGGGGCACAGAAGCCAGAATCTGTCCTGGATAGAGGACTGATAGGAGCAGACACCAGGGCGAGCCAACCAGGAGTAGAACTGGTATCTCAGGGTTCAGTGGAAGAAGGAACGGCCCCAGCAGAAACCAGGAGAGGGAACAAACAGCCGGCATGCAAGAACTGGGAACCCTCAGTCAGGCTCTCTGCTCGCTGCCCTAGGAGTCAGGGCCTCCCTTGTATGGCCAGGGGAGCGGTGGGGAGTGTTGCTCTGTGAGGAAAGCAGGGCCACTATGAGCTGAGAATCTAAAACTTCCTGTGTTCAACAAATTATGACGGCACGCCTCCCTTCACTGGGGTGAGCTCTCCAGGGACTTGTTCTACCACCTGACAAATGGAAAAGATGCCATCCAGAGGTTTAGGAGGATCTGACCATCTGATCAGCCCATGGGTATCAATCATGTGTAAAGAAACAGCCAGCATTTATAACTCTTGCTATGACCTAAATTATTTTTCCAGGGTATTCTTAAGGGTTTCACTTTAGGGAAAAGAAAGAGACTCTGCTCCTAATTACTTTTTACTTTGCTTTCAGCAAACTCTAATTGCAATGCCTTTGGGTGGGGAGTTTTGAGTTTTAACTGGAAACATTGCTTGACTAGTACAAATCAACAAATAAATAGGAAGAATCTCTGAGCTGTAGGAGATGAAAGCTTCAGGGATCAAAGCAGACCTTCCAAAGAGAGTGGATGGGTTCAGATGAAGCCAGTTCAACAGAAATAATGCCAATGGAGAGAATCCAGTTACTCCTTGGTTTGGAAAATCAATCCATACCACCCTTTGAAAGCATACAGTTGTTCAACTTCCTGGAGAAATCTGATGAAAACATTTTCTTTTCTACAAGGGAGTCTTCAAAAGGCAAATTGTAATGGTTGGTTTGATTATATTATTTGACCAAATACTGTGCTGTGTGTATATATACACATATAGGTAAATATTCATAAGCAATAGGTCTAAACCAGTGGTTCTCAATCAAAAGTAACTTTGGGAAATTTTTGTTGTCACAACCAGGGGGTGAGAGGTATTGGATCCAGTGAGTATAAGTCAGGGATGCTGCTAACCAACCTAGGATATTCAAGACAACTCCTCCCCCACCCAAAAGAATTATATGGCCCAAAGCATTGAGAGTGCTGATGTTGAGAAACTGCTATATAAAATTAGCTTGTACTTGGCAAACAGCCAGTAAATTTTTGTAGAACTTGAAAGCTCAAAATAGCAAATATGATAATGGCAATTTGAAGATTTCATCTTAGTGCCAACACTCAAATTCATGAGGGAATGGATTACATATGGTACAGATATCTATCCACAGCATTGTGTGTGAGTGTGTATGTCCACAGTCACACATGAACATACACATATACAAAGGGCTGAATTTTGGCTGCCATATCTCAGGACCTGGTACAGAGCCAATTCAATAGTGAACAGGTGACCAAGTTCTAGCCCAAGACTGAAGGGAAGTCTTCTGGGGGTTTATGATTTCTTTTAAAAAGAAAAAAAGATACAAGGAATGTGGTTTTTCCTTCCACTAGATACTGTCATGTCTGGATGCAGGACCAGAAGTTGCAGCAGTGAATTAGCATCCATGAGCAAAGCCTGCCTGAGGACCAACCTGACTGGACAGGCTATGGACGCCAGAGAGACCAGTGACAGGACCAGGGTCCTTATTAACTTCTGAACCACTGATATAAGCAACTGCAAAGACATCTACCCCAACCATCTAGTTATATAACTTGATAGCCTTCTTTTTAAATTGGACAAGCTATTTGGAGCTACCAGTAGCCACACACATTCTTTTACATAGATATTATATATTATAAATCTCTTTTTAGATATGTAATAAAGACATTAAGAAAAAATGCACGAGTCTACATATATCTTTGACACAATATCACATTTTCCAAATGACAAACAATAATATTAAAAACCAGCATAAGTTTGATGAATATCCAATTCTCATGGTCTACACTGTTGGGTATATCACTCATCTTTCTATCACCAAAGAGCCATATGATACCCTTTTACACAGAAGTACCAAACACATTACATTTTGATTTCTCTAGAAAAAGAAGAATTTGCTTTTCTTTAGAAAATGTGACAGTTTGGTTCTGAGCACCATGTAACCAGGCATCGCAGACACAGGAGATGGGAAATGGGAGAGACTGCAGGACTTACCATTGAGCCACTTGGAATTGTACTGGGCTGTGCGGAGAGGAGGTAGGACGCCCAGACTTCGGTAAATGGCAGGATCGCGTCCCGGGAAATCCATGGCCGTCGCAGCGTACAGCTCCCCGCTGGCTGTCAGGAGAGCCGTGGAATTGTGCTGGGGGCTGTAGGGACAGCGGGCCATGCCGCTGATCTGATCATGGATCTCGGTCAGGTTACTCAACTGTGGGTGAGGACAGGAGAGAGAAACCAATTATCCCCTGGACAAGCCCTTTAATAGCGTTAATGCCTGAACTGCTAATGAAGCGTGGGCAACAAGCTTTCTGGGGCTCGTGACAAGACACAGCCAACTTTCACACTCTGTCTCTGAGGAAACTGTGTGCTGCAGTCATGGTTAAAGGGCCAAGGAATCGATCTCTCTCTTCATCCCACTAGAGTCACAGAAGCTCGTGCCAGGGAGTCCTCATAAAACCTGGAGATTATCGTATACGGCTCCTATCCCTAATGCATGGGGCACTGCTGATCCCTCCACTTGAATAAAGGCCGATTTCAATACTTACAGAAATATAAACCACAATAAAGAACTATGTACAATTTTATCAATATAAGTGATATTTTACCAACATAAGCTTATTATGAAGAGTCCAAAACTATGCTCATAGGTGAGGATGTGTGAATATTTATAGCAACATGTGGCCCAAATTTCCAAAACTTTATTCAGATTTTAAAGAGATGACTCCAGCTCTTGCTGTCATCTGGTGGGAATCCAGCCTGTCGATCACTGAATGAGAAAAGCTCTTTGGGTGGTGAGGGAGTCTTGGGTCCATTTGTCCCTTCCCTCTCTCCTGAGAGGCAAGAGAGCAGAGGGGAGGGGGACACCCCGGGCCACTGCCTGCTCTACAGGTAGACTTGTAGCGCTGTTAAGTTACTCAAAGTCTTTATGCCTCAGTCTCTTCTTTTATAAAACGGGGACCCAAAGGATAACCACTGCATGGGGCAGATGTGACGATTAAATGATTAAGCCGACATAGGGCTCTTAGAACAGGGCATGGCATCTGGAGATCTCAACAAGCATCACTTCTAATTACCATCATCCTGTCTTTATTTCCAGTAACTGAATGTTAATTCAAAAATAATGAAACGAAAAGCTGACGATAAATTCTGGTTTTGAGAGAAGTTGTGCAACCAGGAAATTAACCTGATGACAGTTCTCCATTATATTCCCTGAGGAAGATCAAATGAACAGCCCACTTTGGGAAGATGACAGGTGTGCTCCAAAACCCTGCTGCTCTCCTGGCGTAAGACGCGGGTGCTGAAAACCCTGCCGGGAACGACAGCTTGAGAGAAACCAAGAGGATGGGTTCTAACTCCTTGGCCTAGAATTCCAGCTGTTTGTGTCCTTGCTTTAATGCTTTGTCATGCTTCATATCCAATGTGCAATATCTCTGTTCATGGGGATTGTGGTCTAAGGCCCTTCGACACAGTGTCTCTGGAGTAAAGCAGGTAAGAAGAAAGAACATGCTTACGATTAATGTTTAGAGTCACTGGTGGGGAAAAAGTTGGCAGAAAGAGTTTTGAAACCTATTTCAATTTAATTATATAAGCTATGTTATTTCCAGTTCTTTATATAATTGAGAGCGGTGAGTAGGAATGAATCGATACATCAAATATTTATTCAATTTGACGAAAGGTGTTTCTTTTTAATTAAAGAGCAACTCGTTGGAGAACAGAAATACAAAAAAACACAAAAAACCACCTGCGTTTTAATAAAAGGTTTGGATTTTCCTGGTATTGGTTTAGTCAACTCTCAACAGGGAGCCGTACCGTGCGGTTGGTGCAGACAGGGGTGAAAGCGTTGGTCCCGCAGGTAAATAACCGGTCGCCGCCCACCAAAAGCACCCGGATGTAGTTTTGGCACTCATCCTAAAAAAAATTGAAAAATAAATAAAATAACAAGAAATACATTAACAAGGCCTTAGCACAAAGGGAATAGTGACTCTAAATACAATCTGTCTGGCTAACAAAGGACATGTTAACTGACCACTAAAAAAACAACAACACACAAACTCTTGGATATTGAGCAAAAAATAACAAAGCTATTAAATAATCTGACTATCTGCATGTTTGTCCAACAGAGGATACTACGTTCAATTAAAATCTCGAAGCCGGTGCCTTCTGCTTATGAATATGGTTTCATTTGAATTATATCTGATATCAATACAAACCCTAAATTGCCTTTGACATGTATTAGGAAAGTAAATAAAAGGAACATATTCAATGCTGCTCATAAAAGAGTATCTTGGAAAACTTCCCCAGAACCTTGAAAAACATTGTGAACGGTTCTCCTGAGGCAAAGGTTTCACATGTGAAACTCTATATACAAATTGGAACGAGTTTTATATTCAGTTCTCTAACTGCGTTATACACATAGCAAGATTCTTTCATGGGCAAGTAAAAATATAACTAACAAAGAAAGGATGTCTAAAACATATGAGAAAAAAAGCCAATGCTGGGGAATCACCCAGAGCTGAATATTTCTTACAATTGCATGGCCATAGGAATGCATGGGTTATGAGAAAGCATTTACTGATCCAATACTCTTTGGTGGGCACTGTGCTGAAGGTCACAATCTAGGCTCTTAACAGAAAAATTAAAATATAGGGCCATAACAATTACTTTAGAGTTATCCACAGAAGAACAGCATGTTACTAACTCCAGAGGGGAGGGGAAGGAAAGAGATATAGGAAGGCTTCCCAGAGGAGGTGGCACCTTACATAAATTCCAAAGGAAGAGCAGAATTTACTGAAGCTTCCTGGAGGAGGTACTATCTGACATATGCAGGATTTTACTGAGCAAAGGAGGGAAAAGACACTCCAGGCAGGGAAACAGACTGTGCCAAGGCACGCTGGCTAGAGAAATCATAGTGCTTTCATTTTGTACAGAGGAGGTGACACAAGCTGGGGACCCAGACACAAGCCAGCTGTGCCAGGCGGAGACATCTGCACTTTATTCTGATTGTGAAGGGACCCATTACGTGTTGCTATTGCTTGAAGTTCTGACCTGATCTGATACATGTGATTATAAGACCCCTGGGGAATCAATATGGAAGTTAAACTGGAGGTAGGGAGACTACAATTTGGAGACAGGTAAGGAAACCACTTCCATAATTCAGTTCCTCTGCATCCTGAGCCTGAACCACGTGGGAGGTGTGAAAAGGCAAAGCCAGGATCCAGCCGATCAACAGGATGTGGGCCCTGACCAACCAGTTGGACCCAGAAGATGACATAATGACTTGAATCACACATTGTCTGGAGTCGGAAGATCTGGACTTAATGGGACAGCAAAGCTCCTTCATCCAGATGTAACCCGTCTCCAGGAAATGATTCGTCTCCACTCCGCCGGCCGGGTGGGCTGGCTGTGCAGATGAGAAGAGCTGGGCTATGTGAATTTGCTTTCTAAATGTAAAGTGAAACATCAAGAGTAGCTAGGTCTCCTAATACTAGTATTAGCAATAAAAGTAACACGTTATCACTAGGTGCCAGTCTGAAGACACTTTAAGTGAGGGAAGACCGCAGAATGAAAGATCTAAGGTAACTATCAGAAGAATTAAGAAAGGAAGGTAAACAGCAGACAGTAAATTGGGTAAGTGCAAAAGGTGCACTAGATGGGGAGATGTGCTGTGTTTTGTTCTGTTCTGTTTTGTTTTTATAGCTGGGGAGAGGGCAAAAGAGTTCTAGAGAGAAAGAACAAAACAGGACTTCAAAGAACCACATGGTCACCCTTCCTGGGCTCTGGGAGCACACAGAGAGCACAGGGCGTGGGGCAGCCACCTCAGGGAGCAGAGAGGCACAGGGTTTACAAAGACAGGATCCAGACGAGTAGGAAAACACAAAATCGAAGCTTGTATGAGGGGGAGTCCGAAAAGACACCTGGGAGAACACAGGGCCGGAGGGCTTGACGCATTAACAGACAAAACAGATACAAACACGCGGCTATAATAGAGAGCGAGACGGAGAATCACACGTGGGGAGAGGCGGGGTCCCGTTTGTTCTCTGCTGCTGCTTATAGGAGTCTTTCAAGAATGAGTGGAGATGTTGTTTATTTTTTTGAAGCACGAAACTGACTCAGGATAGAAATGTGCTAGAGGCAGCTCCTGTTAACAGTGATCAAGGACAAGGGCAAGTTATTCGGAGCGAATCATCCAGATTGAAAGGATGAAAACTCAAAGCTGAATTCTATTGACCTGCTGCAGAGGAAGCAAGGCCTCTAATCACTTACAGGAAGGCAAACAATCAAGATAACTAAGGTGGTGTTTATCTTAATCTCCCCAAAGAAAGAAAATAGAACTTTAGGTCCTTAACATTCCCGAAGGCCCATCCCAAACAAGAGGAAGAACTGGAGAGAGAGGGTTAGGGCAGAGACCTGTGCCAGGGAGGCAGGACAACTGCGACTGGTAATTGTTTTGTTTTTTGTTTTTAAATATATCTTTATTTATTTCAGAGAGAGGAAAGGGGAGGGAGAGAGAGAGAGAAATATCAGTGATGAGAAAGTCATTGATCGGCTGCCTCCTGCACGCCCTCGACTGGGGATCAAGCCCACAACCTGGGCATGTGCCCTGACAGGGAATCGAACCCTGATCACCTGGATCCTACGTCGATGCTTAACCGCTGAGTCATGCCTGGCCAGGCTGGTAATTGTTTTTTAATCTTGGAAAAAATAAATGAAGGGGGAAACGGTATTGTTCTGGTCATCAGGATCACCAGAGAACACACTGGGCGGCTCTGCTACCTGAGGAGGGCCATGTGCCCGTGATGGGCTTCCCCCAATCCGTGAGGGTGTACAAAGAAGGTAAACGTCAGGAACCAGGACAGTCAGACACGGAGGCCTGTGCAGTCCTTTTCTAAAGGACACAACCCTATGGAAGCCAGGCTGATTATGATAAGTGGGACCTCAGGAGGTTAATGTTCTAGATGAGTCCAATAAGCAAGATCGGAGGGAGCACAGTATCCTACAAGAGAAACCTTTGGAGGCAGGTGGCATTTTGTTTCTTCTTAACTGTCAAGAGCAGAACTCATTTGCCCAAAAGTGTGGCTCATCTCATCTCAGGGACTCTCTAGTCTTGCTACTTAGAACTTCTCTTAGGTTGAACTTACAGACTGCCTCAACTGATTCTAGAATCATTCAGTGTGAATCCTAAATAAAGAAATACATTTAAAATAATAATTTCTTGGGGGTTATTTTGGTGTGTGTGTGTTTTTTTAAGAGGAATTGGGGCAAGTTCAAACAAAAAAGAATGTAAAAACATAGAAATGGGAGAAAGTGGAGGTGCTTAGCTTTTGAACAGAAGACACATTTAGGAATGAAAAGAGTCAAAAGTTAAGAATGAATGAAAACGGTCTGTGTGCCAGGCTTTGTAATAATTAGTCTCCTGCTGGTGGTGACCCTGAGACCCAAATTCTCCTATAGAAAACTTCCTGGTAAACCTCTTTGTAAGTCTCTGCTAAAATCTGTGGCCTTCACATGGGTTGGCTGAAGGACAGCATGGAATCACCTGTTTTAAAATATACGCAATATAGAAGCCCCTTTAGGAGATTCTGTTACCGGTTTCTCTTATGAGTCAGCTTATCTAAATGTCTTTGAATTTTTTTCCTTTATCCCATCTTCAAAATGGTTGCGGGGGATTAAATGAATTCTGTTTTCCCAAGAAGCCATAGTGCTCATTTCCATGGCCACCAGCAGCCTGCCACCACATGGCTTCTGCTGTTGATAATGAGAACCATCTATCTACATTTTGATAATACCACCTGGACATTAAAATGACCCATGTGCGCCTGTGCTCTTGCAGGCTGGTCAACCTGTCCTTGACTTCGAAGCAATTCTTATTTGAATTGAAAGCCAAGATGCATAGTTGCTGACTCACTGAGAGCTTTTCGATGAGACTGGCCAAGGCTTGCTCAGTCTCAAGGACATAAGGTCTGGCCCCAGAAGAGAAAACACATGTTTTAGGATCATCTTCTTAATGAATTAACTGGTTTTGTCTTATAGCATTTCATCATTTTCCTTTCAAACAGTTATGTTCTGCTTGAAGGAGAACTGTAATTGTGTAGAAAGATTAAACTGTAAACAAGGTAGATGCCTCAGCAACAGCCAGCCCATCACCAAACCCATCAATTTTAGGGAGGAGGGAGGAGGGCCAGGAACCTGACAGCCTTTATGTTAATCACAATGCTCCCACTGAAAGCAGTGTGTCTGTCTCCTAATGATGCATTACCTTTGTGAGCATCCAAGGAGCAATTTAGAGTAATCGCATGTGCCTTTTAGGTTCAATGTACACCAACCAAAGTCATGATTACCAGGTAGATCTTGAAAAACCGTATGTATATATACATCCGATTTGATCTTGATCTTGATCAAATCGGATGTATATATATCAGTATATAAAACATATTTGTGTATTTCATGTGTATGAATGTGCAAACATATTACAGAAGCACATATAAACATAGGGGTGGGAAAAAGTAGGTTTGACTTCAACCACGTCAGGAGGCAGTGGGACTAATGCCACCAAGACACTGAAATTCAGCTTTGTTTACTGATTTTCAAGACTACAAGAATGCGAAAATGATGAAGGTCAGCAATTTGAGCACTTACTAGATTGTACCTAGGTGGACTGTGCCATTGTGACATTCTTTTGAGTTAATAAAACTATTGTAATAATCATCACCTGCATGTTTTTTTCCATATGAACAACTGTAAGCCTACTTTTGCCCAGCCCTGTATATACATATAAATGGAGATATAGAAGTACATCTATAAATACATAGCTATGTATATACACATACATATGTTAAAATTACATTGTTATATAATGCATAGAGTATTAATAAATTAAAATGTAATTTATATATTTATGTTTACATAACGTGACTATTTTCAGTGAAGTTGACTGCGTAGGAAGTTTGCTTGGAAACCTCAACAGGAAAGGAACAAAATTTGGTGTGTGGGAACTGCACAGGCTGTTAGCAGCTCACCTACAGAACCCTCAATTTTTGCAGCAGTTATATAGGATAAAGGCAGGGCTGAAGTTTGCCACAGGCATTGATTAACGCCTAGCTTTCTAAATACTGCTAGTTCAAGTGGAAATGCCAAGTTTTAACTCCCAAGTCACCAGGTTCCCAGGCAGGATGGTGTCATGTTTTTCTTCGGTCACTCAGGTAGAGGTTAACTCTTTACTTGCACAGGCTAACAACTCAGGAGCAGGACAGGGTACGGCAGGGGGAACAGTACACAAAGCCCTGGATCCTAATCAAAACTCTCCCACTAACTAGCAAAATAATTCTAGGAACTTGGTGTTGAAAGGACTGAAATGAGATCATGAACAAGAAACTTCTGAAAATTATAAAGTGCAACACATACACAAAGCAGCTCTTTCATTCCCTTAATAATCAGTTGTGTTTCCTTTGTCAAGTCCCTAAAGGTCATGGTGGGAAGGGCTTTGGCTCAGACATAATAACCCCAAACAGACAAGGGGCTCCTGTTAGGTCATAGAGAATTGACTATTATGTTTAAAATAATATTTGTGTAAAAGACATTTAAATAGTTCTCAAAGCTGATTTCTATAATGGTATTTCAAGAGGAACTAAATATAACAGAATTTATTATAAAAGGTTCTGGGATTTATAAAAACAGATTCCTCCCCCCCTTTTAATACATGGAACGTTTAAGCCATTACAGCAAACCCCCTCCTTCTCCAAAGTGAGCTGAAAATTGGGTAAATAAAATAGAACACAAACCTCAGGAGGAATTATCGGCCTCAGTGCCTCACTTCTCTTCTAAACAGGCCTAAANTCCCCCCCCCCTTTTAATACATGGAATGTTTAAGCCATTACAGCAAACCCGCTCCTTCTCCAAAGTGAGCTGAAAATTGGGTAAATAAAATAGAACACAAACTTCAGGAGGAATTATCGGCCTCAGTGCCTCACTTCTCTTCTAAACAGGCCTAAATCAGAGACTTGGTGACATTCCCTTGACCCTGAGTCCCTAAATTATCACTGGAATGGACTATACATGAAACGATGTCCGTGTCAGTCCAGGAACCCCAGGGAAGCAAGGGGACACATGTCATCTTCCCTCTCCTGCTCTGCAGCCGCTGAGGAAGGCTCTCATGGGAGCGAGTGGGCGCGGGCCACACAGCCCCGCAAGGCCAGCCCTCGTCCACGCTCCACATTCCCGGCTCCGCAGTAACGCCCATTGTGTGGAGCAGCACAGACCACTTTTCTTAGCGTAGGAAAAAGACTACTTCAGTCAGAATAACTGGCATTTTTCTCATTTTTGAGATGTCGCGTTTCACATTATTCTTTTTATTTTAGGGAGAAGGGACACTTTGTAATTCTGTGTCAAGTTTCATAATACTACCGCACAAAGAGAGAGATGAAACAGTCGCTTTCTCATTTCTAAATTCAAGGCTACGGAGAAAAGTCTCACTTGCACTCCCCTCAGCCCATGTGGCCTTTTAGTCAAATTGACTCAGGAATGTTTTCTGATTTGGTCCCTGACACTGTCAGAGCACGGAAATTGGGGGTGTCTGAATTCTGAAATCAGGGGTGAGCCCGTGGGCAGGTGCGCTTCACCTCGCTGCTCCCCTCCTATGCCCAGGAGCTGGGCTCGGGGCTCGCAGCAGAAGGTTCCTGTGTCAGGTGCTCTATTAAGAAAGCAGCAGAGCCCTGGCTGGATGGTTCAGCTGGTTGGAGCATCCTCCCTATACACCAAAAGGTTGCAGGTTCGATTCTCAGTCAGGCCACAAACCCAGGCTGCGGGTTCAAACCCCCTGGTCAAGGTGCATATGGGAGGCAGCTAATCAATGTTTCTCACGTCGATGTTACTCTCTCTCTTCCCCCAACCGGCCTTCCTTTCTATGAAAATCAATAAAAACATATCGTTGGGTGAGGATTTTTTTTAAAAAAGCAGCCCTGGCTGGTGCGGCTCAGTTGGTCGAGCACCATCCCATGCGCTGAGAGGTGGTGGGTTCCAGTCCCAGTCCGGACACATGCCCAGGTTGTGGGTTTGATCCCTGATCTCTGGTTGGGGCGCATATGGAGGCAACCGATGGATGTTTCTCTCTCACCTCTCTCTCTCTCTTCCTCCCCCCCCACCCTTCCTCTCTCTAAAACCAATGAAAAACATATCCTAGGGTGAGGATTGAAAAAAGAGAAAGAGAAGACTGAGGTCATCAGGCAGTGCCCTGGGACCCTGGAAGGAGCCGACGTCACCTGGCAAAGGAGAGGGTGTTGGCATCAGGACCATGGGAAGGAAGGCGGATGTTTTGCATCAGCGAGTCTTGCTGGTAGAGTGAAAGCAAGCCGATTTTTCCCACCCCAGCCCCAGGTAAATCTGATTGCCCGCATTTTACTCCTGAGCACAGGTGATCTTATTTGAAGAACCTCCTGTGCTCGCACATGAGGAGCAAAAGTACAAGTCGCCTGTCGCATCGAGACGCGCAGATGTCACAGGCAGGAGAAAGAAAGCCACCTAGAAAGCACTTTTCCAAGAGGCTTATGTATAATCTATAAAAGCTCATAAGGGAACTGAGGTAAATAAATTTATTATGCACTGACTTATTTTCGGGGTGCTTTAGGAGACAGTATTCTGATTCTTGCGCCTTTGTATCCCTGGTGACTTATTTTAGAGGCAGTTTCTGAAGTTAGAGATCTTTCATTAAATAGCCTTTCTTTTTCTGTATCTGCAAGTGCTCCCCAGCTATGGCTGCATTTCTTCCTCCACCTCTTCCCTCTTCCTGGCTCTTTATTCAACTTTGGGGAGCCCGATGGCTAAGTTTGCTGAGACTTACCCCCAAGTCTGACCCTCAAAACTGTTGATTTCAAAGACAGAGAAACAGGCAATGCAACTGGGTAAAATGAAGCGCAGCACAGGTTTTTACAAACCCAGCTGGTGTGAGGATGTTTTCCCAGATGTATATTTTTTTGCCCTGGGACCACACTTGGCAAAGAGCCCTCTTCGCTGCTCTTTGTGGATCGACTTTCTTCCAGAATCTGAGGCGTGACTGATGTTGGAAAGCCCTTGCTCCAATAAAGAAAGATCACCAATACAACGAGACAGATGAGCCTGAGAGCCAATGGCAGGAGACTTCCTCAGGGTGATCCTGTATCATTTTCTCAGAAACGCAAGACTTCCTCGGAAGTAGGACTCATCACAATACTCTTCTCGGGCAGCCAACTGTGTGAAAGTACCCTGCCACAGGCATCAATGCTCAAGACACGCATTTCCAGCTGTAACTATAATCTGTTCTTTCCAGTTTCCTAGGAACTTGGGGGTTGGAAGGGGGGGAAATTTTCTTGTGGAGAAAGTGCTTATTTTAAAAACATGTTAAGATAAATTATAAAAAAATCTCAAATTACTTTTGATGCCATTATTTTAGATGTCATATAGTTATTTTCTGGAGTTAGCCATAGCAACTGGGAGAAATTAAAATATTACTTAAAAAATTCAGGCCCATATTATTCTAAATGATATCATAACCAATTAATTTCACAGCTTAGTCTAATGACCGAGAGTGCAAAGTAGATCCAATCTTATGTTCTAAATCCCTTTTGGAAACTAATTTAATGTTAAAACCTGGAGAATTTACTGCACATATATTTCAAAGCTTGCTTTTTTCATATGGCACCATAATCAGGATCAGCCTTCACATTAACATGCTTTATGTTCCATCCCTCACAAAGCTGGTGACCGCCATGACCGCGCCCTCCTTACCTCCGATTTTCCCTTACTGTAGCAGGCCTTCTTGGTCGCTTCATCACACTCCCACTCCACAGCCTGTAGGAAACACAAAAATGACAGCAACTGTTATGACTTTGACTGAATAAAGGAGAAAAAAAAAATAAGACACCAGTAACCATATTAGGAAATGTGGGCACAACATAACATCAATACGGTATTTTCAAACTAATATAGAATTTAGACCAAGTACATAAAATTCAGTCATATGGGCTTAAAATGAGCTTTAAAATGGAAGAATTTTAAAGGGCTCACCCCCTAAGTATTTGCCTTGAAGCAGTAATCATGTGATATTTAGGTCTAGTCACTGTGCAAGAGGCACATCCAGTGTGTTGGTAGCTAGTGCACAATTACAGAAAATGTCACTTCTGCGATATCACAGAATAAACCAGGACCACGCTTCAAAGAGGAGCCTGCAAACAAAATGATCTACATGCTCACAGGTGTTTGCATTTTATTTCAACAGTATGTCATCTATCAATATTCATAATGAAGGACGATTTTGCCTATCATTACTCCCAAGATACATATCAATGGTAGGTAGTCAATAAAATAAATAGCTCTTGCAAAAAGCACATCTACTATTCTCCTCCCCCAAATCCCAGTAATCTTAACACTATTATTAGCTCTGACTAAATATTTATAGCTAAACTTTTAAGTATTTTTTCTTAGACTTTCCAAATCTAACTCTTGCTGATCAAGTCGATGTGGGTACTTGCACATCGGACGCTAACTCACACACAGAGCCTGTGCTTAGCTAAGATAACACACGGGGCTTACTTCAGGGTAGGAAATGATGCTTGCAAACCTTAATGAGCTCTGTGCTGAGGCCGTGAATCATTCCTTGAACACAGTTATGAATCTGAGCGGTTTATCTTTTCTATTACCGCAGGGAGTGTGGACTACTATGGGGTAAAAGTGTTTTCTCCATCTGTACACATGTTATTATAGATATGCTCTGTCTTAATATTAGAGCTGAATTTCTGAAGAATTCAGGGTCTCTGAAGAACTGGTTAAATCAAAATCAGAAAAAAATTAAGCGTGGGGCAATTTTTTGTTAATTTGGACTAATGTTAAATAATAAATTAAATTAGCCAGAAATTAACTAATGTTAAATATTATGAAGAATAGTGACTTTACTTCCTTCTAGAAAGGATGATCTTCTAATTCTCCTAAACTTAGGAGAAAAACAAAGTCGTGCTAACACCATTATCTAATTTCTACTTGTCCTCCAAAGAATGCTACATAGCAAAGATGAAAACATGAAACATGGCATCTTGTATAACTTATCTAACTTGGCAAGTAGGAGTCCATAAGATAAGTGTTCTAGAGAGAACACTTCAGTGCCTTTCAAAGAGAAACAATCCTACAACTGTTTCCCTGGTGCAGACTTAGAGATGTTTGTCAGTGTCAACATCTGATAAGAGAATTTTATTCTTTCTGTGATGTTTTCCTGTTCCTAAGATTTCATGGCAACAATAAAGTCACAGTCAATCAGCATCTCATGCAAACAAATGACTTGAATTCCATGGTACGATGACAAATACTTTCATGAAATGTGACGGCACTTCCAAAAGTGATGAGAGCTTCACGTACAGTTGCATAACTGTCTATCCACGAAGCACAGAAAGAATAAATACATTGCTGTCATCCTGAGTGGAGCTTTCCTTTCTTGTAACTCTTTTTTTTAAAAATATATCTTCATTGATTTCAGAGAGAGGAAGGGAGAGGGAGAGAGAGATAGAAACATCAATGATGAGAGAGCCATTGATCAGCTGCCTCCTGCACGCCCCCGACTGGGGATCCAGCCGCAGCCCCGGGCATGTGCCCTGACCGGGAATCGAACCGCGATCTCCTAGATCCTAGGTCAACGCTCAACTGCTGAGCCACGGCCCAGCCGGGCTCTTGTAACTCTTTATAAAAGCCTACGCTTGTTTTTATTTAAATAAAGATACCAATGCCTTTGCCCTCATTTAAACTCAAAACAGAATTGATCCACTATGATATATTATTTTAGCAAAGCAGACCTCACTATAACTGCAATTTTATACTACCAAGAGGATTTAGTGTTATATATCACAGAGAGAAATTAATTTCTATACAGTGAAATGCTTTAGATAAAGAGGTATTTATAGTGGCCCTCAGTGGTCTAGCGATTTTGTTGAACGTTAAATAGTAATATTCTCTTCAGTAAACATAGAGCTAAGAGGAGCAGGGTATTCTTAGGGTCATGAGAAGAATATTATTTATCAAAGGGCATCAAAACTGTTCAGATCCTTCTGCTGAAATGGCAAGCAAATAGCTTCCCACGGCTACCTAATTCTCAGGTAACCTTTGCAATTTCAAGATAAATACTGGCCAACGACTGGAAGGGGAAAGTAATGGGAAAAAGAATGTGAGAAATCTCAAAACTATTTCATTACTGTATTCAGCTGACTGAGAAAGAGCACTGCTCACAGAAGTTTACCAAACCAACAGAAAACAGGGCAAATCTTACAGATTTTTCTGAAGCCAGTTTCTAAAAGTAGTAAAATTTACTTTCCTGAGGCCTTTTCATTACACTATCACCAACTTCCCAACAATGTTCAAATCCAGAATTAATTAAAGACCATGACTGTATAGCTTTTCTGTTGACTCACTTTGTATCTGTGGTAGGATAAAGGGAAACTCCATCAGCAGCGGATCTGAACAACCTCAAAAAAAGCAGGTATCACAGAATTTGGGAAAGAATAGAGTGGGAAAATGTATCTTTTCCAGACTGGCCTAAAAGTGGGTGTTCCCTAAGTGAACTAGACTTTACCCGTTTGACCACTGTGGGGAAACACAAACAAAAAAAACCCCAGCTTCATTGGAGAGAAATATAAATATCAATGAAACCCTTCGGTAGGAGACCTTAGTTCTCAAAGCTACTCGCTATGCTGTATAAAACAGATCACGTTTGAACCTAGTCATAACTTTTTTCATTCCAGAAGATTTGTTCTAAATCAATTAAGCTTGTAATCAAGCCTCCACCCTCTGTTCTCAGTGGAGATTCTCGACTATTCTTTCATGAGCCATAATTTTGGAAGGTATCCCACTGCCAATTTGTGAAGCCATCTTACTGACTGGATTCCTTTTAAGATACTTTTCTACCTACCCAAACCTATCTTCATTATCAAACCAAAAGGGGAAATATTCTTCATTCTACACTCCAGGTCTTAGTACAGCACTCATGACCTAATTTCCAGGGTCTCTGGATGTTTTAGTCTTTAATTGTTTTCATCTCTTGTCTTTTTCCATTGCCCAACAGCCCAGGAGAGAAAAGGGATCCTAACGCCCTATTCCACTCTGCATTTAGTCTTCATTATATTTTTCAGTAGCAGCCTCGTAGCAGTGATATGGCCATTACTTGGGCAGCCAAAGCCTATACACCGAAGGCAAAGAGTTTGAAACGCCTACATTTTAAAAAACATGAAGATTCCTGTTTGGGATGCAGTTTTTTGTCTGTAAATAGATACAAATAACATTTGTGGTCTTCAACGACTTACAAAGGCTTTGCTTTATGCGCATGCATTCATTCTCTCTTTCAGGCAATAAATATTCAGTAGGTACCCAGCAAGTGCAAGGCATTGTGATAGATAATGATTGATGGGGGGAAAACAGAGGCATAGATAAGACTTGCACACATCAGATATTAGCTTAAGATAAAATATCAGTGTCTCCCATGAGTCCAGACAAGATCATGAGAATGCAACAGTGCTCGCTTGCATTGTTACAGGAGCCATGCTCATCTCAGATCCAGTGATAGACTGGAACTTACTACATCATCGGTTTCCAGGAAGTGACACTGTTACAAACAGACCTAAAGGGAAATGGAGTGGCTTTACCCAAAGTCATTTTTTATATGCAGAAACCCTGAACATACAAGGGAGCACCTAGTGTCTCCTGATACAGTGCACGCCTCGCTGGCCTGCACACACACGCACCCAGGCTCAGGTAACTGAGCTGAGATCTAAGGAGCAAAGCAGGTGTGGGAAAGAAAAATGATTGTCTCTTTTTATGTATGTGTTACATACATATAAATCCACCGTTCTCAGAAGTATATAAACAAAGCTGTGTATATCACATTCCACGATGAGAGAAGTTAATTAGACAGCGACCAGCAAAGGCAGATACTTTTCATAAAAATGAAGAGACAACATTCTTAGGCAGATGGGCCACTACTCTTTCAGCAGATGGCTTTGCTAATTAGATGCTGGCAAAAGATAACATTTAAGAAACCCAGTGTAATTACACAGTGCCAAAAATTAACAACCACCTGAGGGCTTTTTTTTAATATGTTTGCGTTCATATTATTATGCCATACATTTCTGTGAAATGCTGGAAAATGCCAACTTGTCAGGGCGATTATAAACAAATTGCCAGGGAGCACAAGCTATACCTTAGTTCAAAACGGAAGCAAACACAAACAAGTTGAAACTTGACATAATCATGGTTTTTATGAGACTTGAATAAAGTGTTGATCTAGCTCTCCTTGAGCAGAGACGTCATTGCTAATTACCTTCAGTGGCCACCTGTGACAGGTTTAAAACAAGTGGCACTTCAGGTGGCATGCTGTGCACTGAAAGGCATAGAGTGACTATAGTCACTTTGGAAGAATCTGTCCAACTTTTCTCTCTGCTTTCACTTCTGAGTGGATATGAAGCATGCTTGTTTACTTTTAATATTAATTTGCCATATACTTGCATTTATGACCATGTCAAAAAAAGGAAAGTCCATGCCATTCTTATGGGTGACCTCTGAGAACCAGAGAATTGGGAGGGGATTTTAGTTATAGTATCTCACTACTGGTTTTTTATTTTCATTACACTGATATCCTCCAAAATTAGAAATAAAGCTTAACCTTAGTGTATCCCATAAACATGTATTATTGTCATTTTTAAACCTTATTTTAAAGCCCAAGATTTTCTTCCACATAATACTACCAAATCAAATTTACTTTGAGAACTGCACAAGGGAGCTCCCAACTTGTTAAATGCTCATTGGGCTTTTCTGTATTT